CCAGGAGCGGGTCAGGTATGAGAAACAAGCAATCTCTGCTTGCATTGTTCGAGTGGTGCTATCTGTATTTGGTCGTCAAGAGAAGTCACTACCTAACTTAAGGAAGCTCAGTCACGGTATTTTGGCCACGTACAAAAGTACTTTTAAATTGAAGGAAATCTGAAAATAATAAGAAAGAAAAACACCAAAGAGATAATAATAAACCATAAAGGAACAAGGATGGTTAAGGATGGAGAAGATTAACGCGGATTGCAAACGACGAACGTGAAAAATTTAGGCTAAACCTTTCAAGATGCGCAAACCGTGTCGTAGTTCTTGTAATATTTTTTATCTTTCTGTAGAAGTTAAAGGCTGAAAGTTCTGGAACATCCACCAAAGAAGATCTTTCCAAAGTAAGTGCAGGAGATTCAAACGGCGTCAATTTGAAAACGCTTCTGTGCTGAAACCCAACCTGATGAGTTTTGTTAAAGTTTCCCTTATGCATGTTGAGTAAATATTGACGTTAGTTTCACGAAGGTGGAAGGAGGGGTTTCTTTCTACGGAGCGGGTTTTCGCGGGGTCGAAAACACCTCGCTAGTCTTTTGTTTGCTCCGGGGAGGTTTCTATAGAGTCCATGGGGAACATCAAGGTTTCTCTACGGCTGCTAGAGAGTGGTTCAGGGGTACAGTTTCTATGCCCTGTAATGAAATACCTTTTATTTATGATATCAGCGAAAAGAAAAAACTTCACGTAGAGTAACACAAGCCAAATAGGTCACCCCCGCGTTAGTGCACTGTGGGACAAATGCGGTAAAATTTAGTTGGTCTTCACTTTGTCATACTTATTTCTTGATCCACGCTTCTTTTTCCTTCTTTATAAACAGTCCGGAAATCGTAGGGAAAAAAATTGAAAATATCTGGTACTTTGCCAGATGGAAAACGGAGACGAGATTTTTCCAATTGTACAAGACCTCGAAAACGCACTCGAGAAATAAGCCTAAGGTGTTAGAGAAACATGTGATTGTCCTTTCTTTCTATTGTACCAATTGCGGGTGGTTAGCAGGTATAGTACCTCTTTATTGATTTCTTTTCATGCAGACTGAGAGATCAGTACCGTCTCTAACGCAACAACAGTTTGAAGCGGTAACAAGACTCAAAGGACAAAACAAGGGCGTTTCCCGGGTAAATATCGAGTGTTGTTGTATTTTGTATGTTTGACATCTTCTTGTTAATGGACTTTTTTTATATTAAGGATCGTACTTTTAAATCCCTGTACAAAACCCTGACTATTGGGCCATGAAACTTCAGTCGAGCAAGTGAGACACTTAGCTATTTATTAAATCTAAGTTGATAAAGGTGAAGTAGTCGGATAAGTGAGTTTGTGTTCCAGGGTTGGCCCTTCGTCAGAACTAAATGAAATCTGATACGGTGTAGCTTTCCGTTGGGTCGGAACTTTGTGATGCTGTTTTGCTCTGAAGAAGGGCTTAAGCTGGAGACTTCAGCTTCAACGATTTGCTACGGTGGAAAATTTAGCTTTTTCGACTTTATAAGTTTATAAATAGCTACAAGAAACTGCATACTTTGTTATCAGGTGTGAAATCATATGTTACCGTCTAAGAAACAAGTGATGTCTTGTTTTTCTGTTTCTTGCAGCTGGCCATTTTATCGGAATTATCCAGGTCTAGCGATGTGATAAATCTCAACTATGGCTCCCACTCGACCAACTCTAGCAGTATCTTTGAAGATGAACGCTTCAGACTGCACCTTGCTCCTCCACGGGAGTAGATTGATACCAGCATTGCGTGACAGTTAAGTGACCTTGTATACGTGACAGCAAATAGGTGTGAGGTGGCCTGGGTAGACTGCGAGCAGTCTCCCTTTTGCTGGAAAATCCGAGGGGAAAAACGCAAACGAATAGAGGCGAGGGTTAAGCCGCGAGAGGGGCTCGGCTCGGTTCCTTTGCGTTATTCCCGATTCCTCCCGCGGATTTTCGAGCGAAAGAGAGACTGTTCGCAGTTATGGCGTGGCGTGACCAGTCAGCAGAGTGACTTTGATTAGTAACGTGGCTTTTCGTTGTCAAAATCCCGGCTGGTGCAAAATTGGGTGGCATTCCGACGTGACAGCAAAGCAAAGTTGCGTGATTAGACAACGTCACCAAAGTCGCTCCACCTCCTTAAGACTTAATTGATTGACTGAAGCGTTGTGTTACTCCAGTACGTTGTAGCCTTCCGGTGGCTTGGTTTGTGGCTTCTCTTCGTCGTGCATGAATAAACTATGTCCGACAACGTGACTTCGTGGCAGGATCTACAAGCTGTCGCTTCCGCTCGTGACGTGAAACATTATGAAACGACATCGTAATCTTGTGGCGTGACAGCTAGAGCACCGGAAGTCGAAATCAAGTCGTGTCCAAACTATTCCGCGCACTCTTGAGTTGTCTTTTGACGTTGCGTTTCTTTGTTCAGCCTACAATGAGAGGTGTTTTGGAGTTTAGTAAGGAAAGTCTGGATGTTGACATTGACCCTTATCAAGTTATGATACACATTTTCATTTTCGTTGAGCAAGAATTGCCGGTTGGATTTGCTGCACTGTTGGACCACACCAGTTTTTGTCGAGTACAACTGGAAGACTTGAGAACGAAAATATTGCTCAATTTGCTTAAGACAACGTAGTTTAGTCTGGCATTCCAATACAAACTTTCGTATCCTGCCTATCTCACTGAGCCAACTGTTCTTCAACAAGCTGCAACCGGTACCGTTTATCGAATAATGATGCCTTTTTGGTAGAAAGTATATACGTACGTCCACAATCGGTTTCTATGTTTTTAAGAAAGTGAAAATATTTGAACATTTTAAGGCGCCAGATATTTTTTACACGTAAAAGTTGAAAATTAGTAGGAAAAAAGAAAAAAAAAAAACGAAAAAAGGCAAAATGGTTTTCTAGCAAACGAAGTAGACGTTATTAGGTATTTTAAGTGAAGTAGAAAATGAAATAAATTAAGGAAATAATAACAGAAGGAAGTCAAATTGACAACATTTTCCACAAAATTCCCTTAATCTGCTTTTAAAAAGCAGGTTTTATAGAGTTATTTCGTTATTTATAATAAAATTGACATTCACGATGACTTGAACGTTAACTGACTGAATGGTTTGTATCTGCGTATGCCCTATTCACGGTTTTGAAACCCGGGGGGACTCTAATATGAAAAGGTCGGAGATTTTTCGTCGAAATATTGGCATTTGCGAAAAACCACGTGATCCTTGCTACTTCGTGCGACTCACTTATTTTGTTCTCGGGTTAAAACTTTTCCATTACCCGGTGAAACCGCCCGCTACCACACTTTATCTTGGTCCAAAATTATGGAACAGGCTTCCCAGCAAATTAAGGCTGGTTACCAGTATTAATGTTTTCAAAACAAACGTACGTAAGATGAACGTGGAAACTCTACTGGATGAGAGATGCCGAAGCTGCAATGTAAGCAATAACTAATGAATTAGGTTTTGTGACTTGTAAACAGACTAAAATTTTAAATTATTCTTAGGTATTGTAATTTCTTTTTAGGTAGGTGTCCTCTACAAGTAGAGGGTTATCCGTGGTCAAAACATTTTGACACCTGAATAAAGTTATTTTATCATTATTATTATCATTATCGTTATCGTTATCGTTATCGTTATCGTTATCGTTATCGTTATCGTTATTATTATTATTATTATTATTATTATTTGTCAGTCTGAATGAACTAGAGTCGCCAGAGAACGACCTTCATGTTGGCCGAAAAGCAAGAATGGAATACAGTAAAACTAAAAGGTGTCTTTTTTTTTTATGTATATCCAGCCCTTAAGGAAAAAGTTTTGGCATCCCTGGCCGTGGTATTTAAAATGGCCTTTTGTATTTGAAAGGTATTTCAGGCTAGTCCTGTGGGTTTGTCTCTTGTTTCTTGGCCATCTCGAGTATAGCGCATGCAAAGCCAAAAACAAGTGTTGTTAGGAAACTTGAACGATCGGGGCAGACCTGAGCCCAGGTTTTTTGTAAAACCGGGTGGACTATTGTTTCTTTGACCTTAGTATTACAATAGAAATGCAATTGACTTCTTCTTAGCTGCGTTGCAGGTGAGAAGAGAATTGCGGAGTTATGTTCGCTTTGTGTCAGACCTTTCGTATAGTGTTGATCGTAATAAGTGCAATGAAAAGAAACAAACAGTAAACCAAATGCAAGTCAACGTCTAAAGGTAGTTTCATAAAATCATGTTGTTAATGTATATACAATGTTTCTCAATTGTCGACTTGAAATATTTACAGCATATTTTATGATACAGAATTTACATTGCTTTACTACGAACGTGGACAACCATCGTTTAGTGTGAATCTATTGCTCTGGCACATCAGTTTGGAAGAGTTGAACAATAGTCTTTTATAATTAGTCAAATTTCCGAGATTTCTGGTTGCACTTAAAAAAATCTAGGATGCCCTTAGCTTGCTGTCGATACTTCGAGGAATTTTCAGCAGTTTAAGCGTCCCCTTAAAGGGAGTCGTGTCCAATAAGTTTGTAAAGCGAAGGTCTTCCAGAGTGTCCATTAATTCTCTTCAAAGCTTCCGAGACGAAATTGGACAGTTGAATTTGTCGTTGATCCGTGGAAGCTTGAGAAGCCCTCTCTTGTCGTCGTCTTTGTCTTTGTTTTTTCTTTGTTTACAGGCGTTCTGTTCGGAGTTTTTTTGGTCATTAGTGGGTGCTCCTCCGACGCGAGGTGTTTTGTTCTTTCGCGGTGTTCTTTGAAAGTGCCCCAAGTTTTCCCTTTCGACCGCACTGAGCCAGGCCGCTATTTGATCGAAATCTTTGTAAAAGTTCGTGGACATTACCTCAACCTTGTTGTCCGGTAATTTTCCTCGTTTAGCTTCCTTATTGAACTTGCGAATCGCCTTAACCGTTAAAACTATTTCGCCGTTCTCCGTGAATTCGCTGTCTTCAATCTGTGTGGCGAAGATTTTGCTCAATGAATTGTTCGCCTCCGTGTCACGGCAAGTTTCTTTGAGTTTTTGCGCGTTTTGTTTTTCTCTCGTCAAAGAGCTTCTAGCGGTCCTTGCAGTTTTAGTCTCTTCAGGAATGTCCTCGCAGTTTTTATTCTCGGCCGCAAAGTCTTTTTCGCCGGGAATTCGAATTTCGACAACGACCGCTTGCGGTGCATCATTTTGTTTCGACGCCCGTGTGTTCGGCGACTCTTTTCTTTTCAACTTCTCTTCTTGCTCGTTGATAAACTGAACCTTATCGCGGGCCAACTTTCTCGGTCCTTTTCCTTTCCTTTTGTCGATCAGGCGAGCTTTGTTCTCGACTTGCTCTTCAGCTGCTCTGTTAGCCTGTTTCATTATTTGTAAACTGAGTTTTTTTACCATTAGGCACCGCCTTACCGCACGAATCGCTTTTCAATAGCACTTGCCACTCTGATAGAAAATGCCGCTTTCTGAACCTGTAATAGACTCAAACGCTTTCTCTTGGTCCATTGCCAACATTTCTTTTTTGGATCCCAAGGGGAAAATGGTTTTGTTTACAGACAACCCTCCTACTTCACTTTAAAATTATGTTTATTGTTCACTGAAAATTACACCTTGTAAGAAGTTTTTGAAAATGACTTTTTAATACGCTGCTCTATTCTGCAGCGTCCAAATGACAGAGACAAGTAGACAAAAGTTTAAGGATGCTCGTAAAACTCAAAAGATATTTTTTTGCTAATTCAATGTTATCATGAATGGTCAATCTACTGGCGTTCTACGACGAATGACGTTCTTACTATCTATTCTGTTGTTGATGGTGTGTCGCCTAGCAGTCTGCCGCTGTTAACAGTATGGCGGCCGCCTCTTTGCGTTTTCAAAATTGTCTGTGAAGATGATTTAGATTAAGCTTTGAACGACTAATGGACTTATACTTAAACAATTACATTACTCGCGCTTGATTTCTATACGCCATTGTTGATTATTCAAATGGCACAGTAGCCGATGTTTTTAATTTGATTGAATTCAGCACCACTGCTGAATCTACTAAAGAAAAATGAAGCAAAAAGCGGCTGAGTATGTTATTTTATTGGGGGGTGGGATTTTTGTGAAAAAACACTTTTTCGTGACGTGTTTATAATCAGACGATGAGAGCAATTAATTTGTCATTATTCTCTTGCACAAAGAGATCGTGTAAAGAAATGTACCATTAAAGATTTCCATTCCGCACTGTGTACTCTCGAGAGTTTGTTTACGTTTTTTGTTTTGTTTCATCTAAGGCATCACAAAATGTAAACATTTTTCCACTCCAAAAAAGGGTAAAAGCGAAAGCAAGGCAAACTTTGCTTGACTGCAGCTAATTGAAGGAAAGGTGAAGGCCGCAAGCGTAGTTTAATTAGTTTCCTGAAATCATTATTCGCCCGATCGTATTGAAACTTTTCCTATTGTAAGAAAATTTAATTTCTAGTTCCATATCTGTTTAGTAAAGCTCTTTCACTCCAAGATTTGAGCGGGCTTAGTGTTCCTGAAGTTGAAGCGAACTGTAATCCGTTTAATTTTCTAAATATTTCATTAAGGGCCCGAAAGAATATTGCTAATGATAGCTTTTGTTTCGAATGCCCACCCACTATTTAACCTTGCAAAGAACACCTCTTTTGTTTATTGTAGCTATGGAATGTTCGTCAAATCCAGAATTTTTTTGAAAAATTAACCCATATCAAACTGGATAAGAAAAAAACCAGTACATTGGTGAAAATGGCCGTAAATTTTCCGACATTATATCATACACTGAAGAAACTAAAATACCTGGAATCGCTCTTTTCTTAGATTTTCAGAAAGCTTTTGATACTGTTGGATGCCAATATATTAACAACTGCTTAGAAAAAAAATTCAACTTCAGACCGGACATTCAAATTGGGTCAAAGTTTCATACAATAATGGTTACACGTCAGAATTTTTCTCCTTAAAGCGAGTTGTTCGACAGGTCTGATGTTTGACGTTTAAGATACGCATCTCTTTCCACGTTGCCGCCTCTGCTTTGTTTCTTTCTTACCGTTGTGATTTCTTTTGCTTTTTTTCGGTGAAAGCACTAATCACTTGGTTTCGTTCTTACTCTAACTTCTTCCACACATCCTTCATTGTCTCGTTTTCTCTGTTTCCTCTTTAGGTTCTCCCTTCTTTTCTGCTCCAAATATCTATCTCGCTTTTTCTCTCTCCATCTCTTCACCTGTTGACTCTTATTTCCTTTTCTTTTCTTCAATTTCTCTGTTAAGTTTTCATTTTCCTCTTCTAGCCCTTCGATTTCCCTTTTCAATTCTTCTACCAATAGTTGTAAATTCCTGACTTCCATCTGTGTAACAACCCCGCCAAGATTGCGGTCTGTTATTTTTTTCTAAACACGTGTTATGCGGAGAAATCTTTCATCCAAATTTGAAAAGCTTTCTATGCAGACGCCATGTTGGTGTCCCCGGAAGGGGCACCAAAACTGCGCCCATGAAGTAACAGAAACATCTATCACTGAGTTTTATTATTAAAACGAAACGTTATTGCTCAAGGGCTCATTGAAATAAGTACTTTGTCCTATGCAAGGACTGTTCATGTAGCAAAAACTTTAAACCAAAAGTTACCTTTTGACCCACGCGACAGCCTTCTCGGGCCGCCACTTCAATGCCACGCGGCAACAGCTTTGGAATTCAAACGCGCTCAATTACAAAACATGGAACCCTGTCGAGTGAAAACGTTATAAAACGTCAAGTTCTTAGAGCGTATTATACCTAACGAAACTTAAACCTTAGAATGAAAGGTAATTTTTAGTTTTGGGATATGACAACGTCACTCGATGACCGGCAGTTAGTTTGTACCTCGATAATTATTAAGTCCCTACGTGTTTTGATTCCTTTGCTCTCTAAAAGCTAATTTCTCATGCAAATTCGTTAAAAAAAGAGAGATGGAAGTGAAAGTCTAATCAATAGAAATCACAACCGTGACGGTGTTTGG